CGGCGAAAATGAGCGGCCCAGTTGTGTGTCTCGCACCCTGTTCCCTTCCCACCGTTTTGAGCATGTTTTCCGGATCCATTGCGCCACGACAAGGGACCGCGTAGATCATTCCTGATCACCGCGTCGAGGTGGGCTCGGCTGACAGTGAGATTCACCAGGATATCGTGCGGCCAAGTGTCAGATCAGCCGGATCAGAGGGGCTGCCAACCAATGCCGTCTTTGCCGGATCACGGGTGAATTCTATTTCGCCTTCGATCTAACCGTCCATTCGTATGCTATGCACATCGCCGCCGATGAATCCCCATAAGCAAGGTGTTCGGTACGACTTCCATTCATGGCTGCGGCGGTACCTGCCGCGGATATGCCTGCCTCGTCAGAATGACCCTCGTCAGAAGACGGAGAAGCTGATTCAGTATGGAGAACCATATGTCCAGTGCCGCTGTTTCAGCCGTTCAACTTCGAGATCCACTTCTGCAAGACATTCAAGCCATTCACCAGCTAACCATCTCTGGCTCTGCAAAAGCACGACCACATCAAACAAGGCATGTGGAGCTCGCAATGTGAAGCTCATGTAACCTTCGAGCCGGACCAGTTGCGTATCAGCGGCCGCCGATACTCGATAGTGGATTCAAATTGTGGAAAAGCGATATCTTCCAGACATGACTGGATACCTGAGGCTTCTTTTTCTAGGCCCCTGTTCAAGTGACTCGGCCTGACCCACCAACGTCCGCGTCGGCCTGCCTCACTCCCCTGTCATTGCAGAAATCGTTAGCGCACCCTCCTCCGCGTGGCTGACGCTCAGCGAGTTTATTCGTGAACGTTGCGTGACAGGACGTTAGTATCGTTTGGTCGGCGCCATCACAACGCTACCGGCGATACCATGAGATCGCTGCTACTGCTACACGCTCACGGCCTTGCTCACCGTATCCGGTCTACTCCAAGTGTCAGATCTCGAGGAGTCGCATCTAGTGTTACCCCGTTTCTTCCTTATTCAAGCCAGCAATGCGACGGGGTGAGGAGTCAATACGTGACCTGCTGAGAGTCTCCCGCGGCAGCACAAGGCTTGCTTCTGAAAAGTGGTCCGACATCCGCATACGGCCTGTATCCCGCCACATGATTTCCACCACTGGGAATCTTCCTCCCTTCGCAGTGCTCCAGAAGGATCACATAGTCGCGATCGGCGCCGATCTATGCTCAACATGATCCGCAATTATAGCGCCAGGGGGTACTCAAGGAGAGTTTTGTTCACACGGCGGTCGATTCACAGGTGCATAATGAACGCAGGACCAAGCTCACCAGTTTGCCGCTGTCAATGCGCTGGACTCTAGACCTGGTATTATGCTGAAGCAGTGGCCTAAGCCGTTAGTGACCGTTGATGTTGTTTTTTCCGCAACGTCTATCCGAAGGAAGCTCTCTGCGGGACACGAATGCGCAGCCCATCGACGATGTGAAGGAGTCGAAGGATGCACCGCAAGATTAGCCCGAGGGGCCCACGACACGTCAATCACGAACCCACGATCTCCGTTTGAACTTCGGCTTCTAATGACTAGCACACGTGAGACCCGGTCCCGCGGGCAGATCCCAAGTGCTTTCCAATGATTACGGATCAGCCTGTCCGTCTGAGATCGAGTTCGTGTGTCGGCACCCGCGCATATCTCGCATTCGGAAGCCCACCCGCTACATCCCAATCTGCAAAGGTCATCACATGTAAGGGCATAACCGCGCCGGGGTTTTGGATGTCGGGCCCCGCGACAAAGACGAAAAGGTCGCGAAAGGCTTCGCAGTTTGATGACCCAGTGACCCTGTTATTACTGCGAGGCGCTTCAGTGTATGCAGCTGCAACAGTATACTCCGAAGCTACTGCTGCAACTGAATATTGGGTGTGTTGCATTGCATATCGCCGAACAGCGCGCAGCAAACGACACTGCCGTGAGCAAGGGTGGGGCACAAGATCACTGTCACGGTCTGTCGGTCCTTTAACAACGTGAAACTGTCAGCAGATCCACGTTTATCGACCTGGCTGTCGGGAGCCGCACCGCCCAAGTCAAATGTGTACGTGGACATCACTCTATCTAAACCTAATCTCCATCAACTCCGGGTAAGGGCTTTTACGTGTGGTGGCCATGTAATACCGGTCGGGCTTATGCAGCCTGAGGATCATAGCATGGGTCTTTGTCCTTGCTTCCTTTGACCTACCCCATGTTGGTAAGCTCCGTGCAATCTCGATCGCTCAGGAATATGGGTTTTATTTTTCTCTGCCAGACTGCATGCATGCGATACGATCTGCTCCGCAAGCAATGCAGTAAGTTGCTGTGCCGTGCGTGAAAACCGTCGCAGATACATTGGTACTTCGCCGACGACGTTTACCTGCAGCCGAAGGAAGGGGGTGGTATGCGGGCCTAAGTTGAACGAGATGTAACGTACATCGCAATATCTGTTTAGCTTCTTTCTTGGATCATGTCGATACCCGAACCCAGTGCGGGATCTGCCAGCCTGCGTGCTCCAAACTTGATATGCCGCAACGGAGGCAAGTATGACGACATGAACGGGCCCACAACGTCTATCACCAAGGTCCCAGATCAAGACACTCCGAAGCCCCCACTTTCCGATACGTGACCGACATCATACTGGAACAACAACTTGGTCGGAACACGAGGAAGGGGTCTTGGTTACTGTACCAGAAATGCAAGGCAAGCAATATACCTGCCACTGCAATCCTTCTACGTCATTCGTGGGAAAACCACACCCCTGGTAGAAGTAAGAGCACGCACGCATAACTCATTGCACTCCCGCACACATCCTGCAGCCCAGCCAGCCACCCCAGCTTACCCGAGCTCGGAGCCGCCGCAATCCCATCCCTCCCTTCCCTTCCCCCATCACATCACGCACCCTCGCTCTATACCAGGGTAATCTTATCATCTGCATCTCTTACCTCGTATATCCCGCCAATTCGCCAAAAGGCTTGGGTCATAATGGCAGGCCCCCAGTCTACTAACTACTAACTTGGTTCCGGCAGCGGTTCTTCTTTTCTCTCCGCATATGCGCCGTTGATCCGCCCCTTCTGCACTGCTGCTCTCTCCACGCTCGTATGACGTGTGCCATTCTGTGCACCAAGCTCCACGGTACAGTGACGCCGGATGGAAGGGTCTCCGTGGAATAATGCCGCGCCTTATATGTACGCTGTACATTCGCTTGACCTCAACCTCTTCGTTTGTCTGGCGAATCGCTTAGGTGTACACCGTACCATATACTCATCTCGCTCAGTCGCTCACGCGCGCCTTTATGCACACGCGAATGCAAGCTATTCATACACTAAAGCCGCAAGCGAGGACTGCTTTCTCTGTCTAGTCTGCTCGCTATTCGTCTCTCCATCGTCGATTTTCCGTGCGTTCATTTCTGCCACCGGCCAATGAGTCTTCCTGCATTTTATAAGTGAAAGCGACGGTGTGTTCTCGGATTCAAGTGTCAAGGGTAAGCGAAGGATTCTTGATAGTCGCAAGATGATGCCATGCGAGCTTAGCGCGGATCTATGATCTGAGGTGATCGCGCGTGGGTACAAAGATGGGGCTGGCGTTTGCAGAGGGTTGGTCGTGATGGAGGGTGGTGACGTGGTTGCGACGGCTGGGAAGGCAGTGTGTGGCTCGGGTGAAGGGCTGGTGTATGGCTGTGTCGATTCCAGTGCGGTGTGTTATGCCGTATACGAATGGCGGGTCATGACTGTGTGAGGTGTTGCTTACGGGGAATACTCCGCAGTCGATACGCCAATGCGAAGTCGCTTAGGTCAAGTTCACAGCCGATCGTATGTCTCTCGATACATTCTGCGAAGTGTGCGTGTTTGGGCATTTTATGAGACGAATCCATGATCGATGATACAACCTTTCCCGTCTTCATAGAAAGACCACAATATCAAGGAACATCATGTCAGAGGACGAAGTGCGATAGCCATACCTCTTGCGTTATCAACAGAAACCACGGGGACAGCGCTGTTGCCATATGCTATCAAGCTTCCCAGTGTCATGTACATGTTACCACATTCATATCTGACTTTCCCTGGCCACCTGCAATTGCACACAACATTTGTAACAGCGTCACCTGTGCCATGTACCTCATCTCAGTAAGTATTGAGTCATGAGTACACGACATAATACATTCTTTCCTGCCGGCGTCTTACACTCCAAGCTGAGATTTCTTGACTATTGTTATGAATAACGTATGACGAGGACGGCAAAAGCGGGCGCATCAGCGGTAGCGAGATAGGTGAGATAATCACGTCTTCGCTGCTACTCAACATAGTTTTTGGGTTCATACACCTCGCAGAGAGTAGAGAGTATAGCTAAGCAGGGAACAGATAATAGAGCGAATAGCCCAGTTGGCGTACTGTGCCTAGCGGGAATAGCGCTAGTAGAGTCTATCACTGTAACGAGATAATACATTACTAAGATAGATACATTAGGAAAACGAGGAATAATATCTGTAGTCTTTTCTTAGTACGCAGGAAAGCTTTCTTTTTAGCGAAGCTGCCGTCGCAGTCTTGTTAAGTACATTACTAAGTCTTCGATTTCGATTGTTACACGCATTAAACGATTACAACAATTATACTCTACTATCTAATTCTCTAACCTAAGATATAGACAGCTCTATGCCTAGGCTGTTTGCAGACAGTTGATAAATATACATAGAAACGTATCGAGACACTACAACTTAACTACTCTGAATACGAAGAAGTAGCACGCTCGTCCCGAAAGGAAAATCAAAGGTGTCAATGGCAACCTCCAATTGTATGCGTACCTGGTACTGGCGAGCCGTCTCGCTGGGATCAGAAGAGAAGGCAGGTGTGGAGTGTATGTCATCATGCACATATGTGGAGACTGAGCACAGAAGTACAACAATATGAATTGATTGGAAGCCAATGTGCGAACCTTGATCAAGGTTATAATAACCGCTCATACCCGCCTGCTGTGCGTAGCGACCTTACGTGAAGGAGTGTTTCCATCATCAGACTACTCTTCACGACCCCACATGTCCATATCCGGGAACCACTCGAAACCTGGTAAATAACTCTCGAAACCCGGTAACTTACCCACGAAACCAATGCCAAACTGTTGTTCACCATCGAGGACCCGTGTATAGGACTCAAGCATTTCCACGTACGCCTTTGTTTCCGCATTGATGTAACGCACAGGGCCATAATGACGAAGATCGTACCTGGCCACATCCACGTCGCCAAAATCTTTGTCCTTACGGTCGTTGTTCAAGAATAGGGCAGCAGGGCCTTTGCCATCCGGTAGCTCGGTCGCAAGATCGGCTATGAGTTGTTTGACTGGAACTGAAGGCCAGCTCGAAAACACAAGGGAGCCTTCGTTAATGGCCAAGAAGCCTTGAGGATCGCTCACTACCTCAATCGGTTTTGCTAGCGAATGAAGCGTCATGCGGTCGAGGGAGGTGTAAGCAGGGTCTTGCGCAACAATTTTGATGGGATTTTCGAGCGGTATGCCTTCTGCTTCATACAGTTGTTCGAGATCGTAAGCGATAAAAGAAGCAGTAAAATGCTGCACCAACGAGCGAGTTTGCGCAATGTCTGGAGCGTCCAGAGTCCCCAGACCTATACAGACGATGTTGGAGATTCGGGCCGTATGTACGAGCTTTCGAAGGCTATGGTGCAAGATGTCGGGCGCGCCGCTGCGGCGCCAGTACCACCCGTACATGTCCAATAAGAACCATCGAGGAAAAGGGCTGTAGAGATAATGACTATCTGGTAAAGGCTCACCAGGTTTTAGATGCCTAGTGTCGACGCGATCGGGGCGTACTCCTTGACGTTCTCCAGATCCTAGAAAGAGTGGGAGCGCCGGGCGGACGTCATCAGCTTGGAAGATTTCGGCGAGTTCATGGATTCCGGAGTAGAACAAGACAGGAGCTTCACTGTCGGCATGTTAGCGTTAGAATCAGTGTCACCTTGCATGATCACAAGTAGAACATACTCGAAAGAAGAAAACTTTTCCCCTGGGAAGAAGAAAGGCTTGCCATAGCAATCCAACAGTGTAACGTCCTGGCCGCAGCGAGCTCGAGTCAGTTGATCTGCGGCGTTGCGAAGCATGCAACGACTGTAGATCGGGCGGCCTCCAAGGGAATCTCTGAAGGCTTTGATGTCTAGAACTGTATGGGAACCGTTTGTGGATCCAATTCCGATTTCCTCAAGCACATCGGCGAGGGGCTCGTGAGTCTGGGTGGGGAGTGTCTCGTTGGATGACCCCCAGAATTGTTGCGCGCCGATGGGGCACGTATCCCACCACATGGCAGCTGCTGGAGCGGCTGAGAAGTTCATTCCCGATAGTGCAGGCTGCACGCCCCATGTGTTCTCCATTGTTGTTGAGTATCGTAGTGCTAGAAAACTTGGTATCAAGTGAGACGTCGAGAACGATCGAAATGGGTAGTTGAAAACTGTAACGGGCGATCTGCTAGCAATGGTGGAAGTGTGGGACGATGTTGTGCAGGAGTAACGATGTTGACAATGGATGATGGGGATGCACAGTGTAAGAGCCAGCTGGGGATGGAAGTAAACATGACCCGAGCTTGTGAGCAGATGCCTCGTGTACGTATGCCACTGCCACTGCTGCTGACGGTGATGTTAGGAAAGAACAAACCTGTGTCCATGGGCGGCCCTGTAGCTGTCACAACTGATGATAGGGTGATGTAAATCCCTGGAATTCGCAGTGTAGCCGCCTCGACTCGCGATGGAAAAACTTAAGCCACCGAAGCGCATGCGGTGAATGTTCCAAAGGCCACCGGAAATACTTTGGTAGCTATCCGGAGTGTCTTTCAGGTACTTTCCGATCCTTGAACTGCTCTTGCATATCATTCATCAGAAGTGTGGCTTCCGCGCAGCCGATCGAGATATCGTATGCAACCTCCTACATTGAATAGAAGCTGCGAATGAGATGAGGGCATCTTCTCTGGGAGACAATGAGCGAGCGCAACGCGTAAGACACGCGCATTACATCAATGCGATGCTTCTGTGACCGTCGCGAGGCGTGACCCTTGGATCCAGGCTCATCGTAGGTAGCCTGGATAGATTATGTGATCTTGAGCGAAAGCGCGTTGAGCTAAGTTGGGAGGTGCAACCGCTCTTGAGGTGGCTGCTGTGTTGCAGAGTACGCGCGCAAGAACGATGACGCGATAGCGCGGAAATTGACCACTAGCGTCCTTTTCTGTCGCGTCGTCTCCACGTGACGCGTCTCTTACCTAGGTACCCTCCAGCACCTCAGACAAAGGAAAAGCTGAACAGGTGCGCCAAAGTCTCTATTAGAACAAAGACACGAGCTTTAACAGATGCTAAGGCAATTTAGTCTTGTTAGCTTTTTTTCTTCTAGATTTACTTCGTGGAGGTAGCTGTCCACTTCTTCCCTTGGATGGGTGCCAGGGCACCTTCGGGTTCTGCATCGTCATATGGTCGCAAGCCTCATCCAGGCACTCATTAACTGTCGAAGTGATCGAGTAGACTCCTCCAGACACATGTTACCTGTTAGTATCTGTGCAATCGGCCATAGCTTGGACGGTCTCGATTTTCACCTCGGCCTGGGCGTGTGTCGCCACCCGTGTAGCGCCTAGTATCAACGAAGAAGAGGATGCGCCTTTGACTTTCGCTAGACTCTTGGCTTGGTTTGGGCGGGTTATGAAATTTGTACCTTGGTCTGCGAGATGATTGTGATAGCTTTGAGGCGGTTCGCTGGAGTGCTGTTGGATGCTTCACCGCAGTACCGTGGTCGTTGTATCAAACTCGTAACGCGCCCGCTACAACATGAAATACATGATTTGAGCATTCAGCACTCCCAAGGAACATTGTATAAGCCTTTTCCCTTCTTTGTAGCATGGAAGCATCGTAAACTCCAAGCGCAGACCTCAGTATACGTAGTCCCAAAGCGGCCCTTGTATAGTTGTGATTTACCGATACTTAATTGCTTTGTATGTGATGCATCAATCTTGATAATTTTCTAGGCCCCAAAGCAATACGTTGTAACAACAAATGTCAATTTCGTGCTTTCTCTGGCCGTTGCGGATGCTACGAGCGGAATTTATGTCCTCTGATACTCAACCACGGTGTACCCCAATATGGCCTTGACAAGGTATCCAATGCGTAAATGACAGTAGGTAGCGCAGCATCGCTATCTACAGTGGGGAAAAGCAGGCCGAACATTTGAAGTAGATTAGTACTTTGGCCATATTCTGTCCTAGCACGTCTAAATCGTTGTGATGTTTGGAGCGCAAGACACCTATGGACTGGCACATAAGCTGCGACAATCCTCTGCCGCATGTGTACGTTCAGCTGACCACATATGGATTTATTCCAGCCTACAGTCCTGTGTAGCGCTGAGCCTCTGCTTACCAAGATGCAGTTTCTAATGTCGAGATAGCATATACAATGCCTCGTTTCGTGGATAGGGTCTTGTGTACCTGCGGCAGTTATCGTTGCTAGCATCGGCTACAGGTACTTTGTTAGTAAGTCGCTCAATCCTTTTGTTGAGACTTTCGCGCGCTAACGCCGTTAGTGTTTGCGTGCCTTACGCTGCTCCGGCAGTAGTTCTGCAGACAGTGTTCTGGGGTATTAAAAAACGACACTGTGGTACAAGTGATGGATGCGACGAGGAGCAAGGAGCCTGGAAGTACGAACACGCATATGATGCTCGGGATTCAGGGTCTAGTTGTAACTGGGCGAGACGCGTGCGACACCGCAAGCCAGGTTTCGAAGCCTCTCGGGCTTTTGAGTTTGTCGCATCAGAGTCGCGTCGACAAGTTTCCTTTACCATGTTTCAGCGTGAGCCAATTAGGCATGTGCTCTGGTAAGCAGAGATACGGTGTGGGCGCAGGAAGGTATATCCGGCGAACATCAGGAATGCAGGGAGCCGAAGGGGACTAGGGCGGGCGAAAACCATGCAGACCCGTGGGTGGAATAATCAGAATCTGAACAATTTTAGTGCAGCCAGCGCGCGTATATACAAGCCGCCCCTCCACGCTCCCTTCCGTCTATCTGCCCTCGCTTTTTCAGTTTTCCTGTATTGTATAGACTCTCCACTCTTCCGTTGGGGCGTCTCTACATCCACGCTTGATACCCGGGGTTTTCACCCTCTCGCGCTGTTGGGCACCGCTTACGCTTGAGCCGCCGCGAATAATTCCAGACCGTATCGATAAGCCCCTCCACCAAAAAGAAATCGCTCGTCGCAGATTCACAGCGCAGCACCACTCACCCCTACCGGCTTCTCTCGCAGATGCCGCACTCTGAGTCGCCGCCTATGGCTCCCGCTATTGTCGTCGACAAGGCCAGCGCAGCCCCTGCGCCCTCGCAGGAGGATGTCAACGCCTTCATCAGCAGCATCGTCACCGCAAAGACGTCGCACGCCTCGGTCGACGCCGCCTACGCCCTCACCACCCTCCTCCAGAACTCAGTAGGCTTCCGCGGCCTTACTGGCTATGGCATACTCGAGGAGATCAAGAAATCGGCGGCCAACAAGAAGGATGCCGTGCGGAGAGAGGGCGCCATGAACGCCCTCGGTGCCTTCTTCGAGCGCCTTCCGCGCACACAACGCCTGACAGAGGCCATCTTCCTCGTTCAGAACGAAGGGCTGGTACCCATGGTCCTTGACCTGCTGGCAGACAAGACTGGCTCCGTCAAGGAGTCGGCCAAGTACGCTCTCGACTCGCTGTTCGAGAACCTCAGCGCTGAGGCCAAGGTCTTCGGCCTCTTGCCTGTGCTGACCAAGTACCTGGGCAAGAAGTCCGGAAAGTGGCAGGGTGCTGCTTTCGCCTACGAACTCATCGGCCGCATGGCCGACAAGGCCAAGATGGGCATGGAGAGCCTCGAGGTCGAGAAGGAGAAGGATGTTCTCCGCGAGTCCATGGGCAAGAAGCTCGAGGGTCTCATCCCTATCGTCGAGGCCGGCATGCACGATCTCAAGAGCGAGGTAAGGTCCCCCATCCGCTATTCTACAGCCACCGTACTAACCACGAGCAGGTCGCAAAGCAGTCTGTCAAGACGATGAACAGCCTTACCACCCTCCTCCAGAACGACGATATCGCGCCCCGGATACCCCTCCTCGTCAAGGCCATCGAAGACCCCTCCACAACAAGTCTGCAGAAGGCCATCCACGCTCTCTCCCAGACCACCTTCGTCGCTATTGTCACATCACCCGTCCTTGCTATGGTCACACCTCTGCTTGAGCGCTCTCTGAACATGCCTTCCACATCTCAGGAGGTCACCCGTCAGACTGTCGTCGTAGTCGAGAACTTGACCAAGCTCGTTCACGACCCTATCGAGGCCCGCGCCTTTTTGCCCAAGCTTCGCCCAGGTGTGCAGTCCGTCAGGGACCGCGCTTCACTTCCTGAAGTCCGAGAGATCGGCCAGCGTGCGCTCGACGTTATCGAGAAGGCCATGGCCGACCCAGACCACAACATCGACAGCGGCGCCATCGCGAGGACACAACCATCGGATGTTCAGAAGGTCATCGAGAAGCAGATCACCGCTTCTGCCAACCTCCTTGACTTCCCCGGAGACGCAGAGGTCTTGGCTATCACCAAGAGGTACATCTCCGAGATGATTGCTGAGGTTGTTGATCAGCGCGAGCTTCAGCGCCTGCCAAAGCTCGTTGGCCCCTACTTGGAGCCTTTGCTCAACGCCGGGGACGCCGACAAGGTCGCAGAGGCCGTGCACCAGTTCTACGTGGACGAGGACCACCGCAAGTTCGGCCAGCCCGTCAAGGAGGATGACGGAGAGACGGAGATCGTCAACGCTGTCTTCTCCCTAGGATACGGTGGCATGTTGCTCCTCTCGCACACCAACCTTCGCCTGCTCAAGGGTCACCGCTACGGTCTTTGCGGTCGCAACGGTGCTGGAAAGTCTACCCTCATGCGCAGTATCGCAAGCGGCAAGCTGGAAGGTTTCCCTTCTCAAGACGAAGTCAAGACATGCTTCGTCGAGCACAACCAGGGAGAAGACGCTGATCTCTCCATTCTTGAGTACATCGTTCGCGACCCGCGCTTCGCGGACGAGAGCCGCGAGCGTATCTCCGAGGTTCTCGAGGAGGTCGGCTTCACCGCTGGCCCCGAAGGCAGACAATCCGCCAAGGTCGGCTCTCTGTCCGGAGGATGGAAGATGAAGCTCGCTTTGGCCCGTGCTATGCTTATGCGCGCCGATGTGCTCCTCCTTGACGAGCCCACTAACCATCTGGATGTTGCCAATGTCGCTTGGCTCGGAAAGTACCTCAAGTCCCACACTGAGATTACTAGCTTGATCGTTTCTCACGACTCTGGTTTCCTCGACGAAGTCTGCACCGACATTTACCACTACGAGCAAAAGAAGCTGGTCTGCTACAA